GGGCTGTTACGGCTCGTTTTTCGCAAACAACTCTTGTTCGGCTCGTTAAGAAGTTGTATTAGGCTCGTTCACTAAGTTAACGAGCCGAACATGAACAAAGTTCGTTTTGGCTCGAAATACTACTAATCAATTAATATATATATATAAATCTTTGATTAGTAGTATTTTTTTAAAAAATTAATTGACTACAAGGCTACAAAGATTTATAATCAATTAAAAGTATTAATTAAGAAAATAAAATAAAAATTATTAAATAAGATTCAAATGATGTTTTAATATAAACAAAAATTTTTAAATCTTGCCCAAATATTTAATATTTTACGGCTACACAAATAGGGTTGTCAAAACGAATCTTAGTTCGTGAACAGCTCCTGTTCGGCTCGTTAAGCAAACGAGTCGAACACGAACACACTTTTTGAACTCGAAAAATAAACGAGCCGAACACGAGCTGAGCCTAAGCTCACTTGTGCTCGGCTCGTTTACACCCCTAGATGTGATCGTGTAACTTTATATTTATAACATATTTAAGTGTCAAGGGAGAGTTTATATTTAATTTAAGATAATAAATTTTGATTGAATTAAAAGTTAATTTCTCATGTATCCAAATTGAAGTTTAAAATTTATTTAACTATAAATTCAAACTTTAACTCCAATTTAAATTAAAATTTGAATCAAAGCCTTAAAATTTAATTTAAATTAAAAATTCATAATGGGGTGCCCCAATCTTCAAAGAAAATTTCACTCTTGGGAGAAATCAAACTTTATTTGCCTTTTAAGTACTTTTTTTAATCTAAACTTGTCGTCTTAGAAATTTTGGCTTTACATTGATAATGAATTTGACACTTTTTATGATATTTAAATTTAATTATTTCCCTAGTGTTCTTATAACTACATTTTCTTAGAATTGTTCAACGTGCTATTGACTTAGTTACAAGCTCCCAACTTCACACTACAAAATGAATCCTACTAAACATGATGAAATCAAGTGACATTACACAATGTAGTCTTTGTCCTTTTGTAGTCCATATTTTCAAAACTTTTAGGAAAGACAGTACGGTGAATGTGAGTTCATCGCAAGGAAATAAATAAAATCACTATTAAATATACATTTTTTATTCCATGATTAGATAATATGCTGAGTTTAGGGCTCGTTTGGGGCAGCTTGTTTGGTGCGGTGGCGTTTTGAAAACACACCTGGCCTCTTTGGGTAAGTTGCGTTTTGACAACTTATGCGTTTTCAAAACGCAGAAAATAGTGTTTTCACACCGCACCGGTGGGAGCTTATTGACAATGATCTGGTTTTTCTAAAAAAATAAAAATTTGTAATAGCCACCGCACTTAGTTTATTAGCAGATTATTCAATAAGCTACAGCTGCACCAAACATACCCTTTGTCTTGTGAGTAATTTTTTCTAAATTGACCAAAAACATTGTTATCATATGATTTCAATTAGATTAGAAGATGATTGAAAAATCTTCCATAAAACTAAACCCAAACAACAATATTCCATTAATATTAAAAAAAGTCAGTCTTAAGTTCTCTTTTAATCCAAGAGCTATTAATGAAAGAATCTTCTTTTCATGAAATTTATTCTCAATTCAAACCATCATGCCTTGAAATTTGTTAGCAGAATAAAAACTAAGTTATAAATATGTAAATCAATAAAATTTAGTATCACTCCTTTATCCTTTAACATTATTCTTTAGCATAAGCCTCAAATAAAAAATAAAACTTTTGAAGCCCAAATTAGGTAAAGTTAAATATTCTATCTTTAGAAGTGAGGATCCTAGGATTTAATCAAACTATATAGATGATTGCCCAATTTATTTTTATTTTCACTTGTTTTACCTCAAATATTTCTACAAACCTTAACTTTATAAGGAAAATTCAGTTATGAATAGAATATTTATTGAAGGCAATATATCCAGATGAAGTGTGTGCGCGCGCGCGTTTTGTGGCCTAGCAGCCTCCTTGAAGTTCGTAAGTCCCCTCGGGTCTCCAGCTCAAATTCCCCCGTGTGTAGGGTGTGGTACTCAAATTATTTGCACACCGTGTTGGCCCCCAGACCTAGCGGGGGTTAGCGCAAAGAGGTTGATTGGCGGCTCCACACGTCCATCAATCTTTTCTTTAATATATATATATATGTCATGAAAGGCTCAAAAAAATAATTAACAAAAAAACATCACAGAAAACCAACGACATGTAAAAAGATGTAAAACTCAGGAAACATAGCATGTAAAAAGACAAACTTTACACATGTCAAAACCACCAAACTTACCATATTACTTGCTCTCAAGTAATCAGAAGGCTTAGTTTGGATTATTATGAATTGTGATTGTACACTTGTAGGTTTTTAAATGTTCTACCTGTTAATCAAGACTAAATAGAAGTGTTTAAACTTCATTAGGATCAATTACTTTAATGGTTAACAACTTGACCTTTCCATAATTTCCTTCATTCCTTTTTTAAGAAGATTCCATAGATCCTTAGATTGGTGTGATTTAAAATCTCTTTCGCAAACCTTAAATGTCTTTATTTCAGTTTCAATGGATTTTAGACAACTCAATGTTCACTTAATTCTTGCCCTTGAAAATACTTTTAATGTGGTTTTTATTAAAGAAAGAAGACAAAGTTTATCACTCTCAAGTCTCACTAGACCCTCTTCTAATTTATTTACATTTTGTTTTTGAATTTTTGTTGTGCCAACTTCAAGCATCTTTTCGGGGATTTTTCACTTATTTTGCTTTTTCTTTTTATTCATTCTCTTTTTTCTTTTTTTTTTTCTAGAGAATTCTATATCTAGTTAGATATTTTCTCTTTTCTAACTTTTAAATGTGAAGAAGGGTAATGTTTCTTAAGCAATAAGACTAATACTTGATATTTTTAATGTTCTGCCTCCAAATTATCTTTTCTAGTTAAAACTTAAGATCGCATTAATTTGGTTAACATAGATTGAAAAATATCGAAGATATATTTGGTTTGCTACTCAATATCTGAGTCACACCTTTTTAATAATCTATGGATTCTTTTAAGTAAAGTTTGAAGTTGTTAAATTCTGAAATTGTATTATTAACCCGTTAAAGTTAATCCTTTATAATGATATTTATCTGCTTTTAAAAATTCATGATAAGCAGTTTGAATTATCAAAAGTCCTAACATGAGTTTACATAATGAGTTTAAATCTTTTGTCGAGCTATATGAACTACCCATTAGGTTCGTAATGGGGTGAAGTACTACCTCCCCCAATCTTCTTTCTTTCAATACATGCATTAAAGAAAATAAAGATACAAAGTAAGTACATGCAAGAAAAGGTAAAGATAGGCTATATCACATGACCCTCAGAAAGTAAAACATCTCAGTAATTGGGTAAGAACTCATGATGCGGTGAGAATTTCAATTTAGGGGTTGCTACTTTGTAAAGAAACAAGATTTAACAATGATTCAAATGAAAATTTACATTGATTTCAAAGCAAATTTTAAAACCAATTTCAACACAAAATTCAGAAAGGAAAAGCATAATGAACACATTAGATAACACCTGAATTGCTTCCCAAGTTAGTTTAACGCCCCCTGCCTGAGGAAAAAGGCTTCATCTAGGATCAAATTACCAATATAGCAAACCTCGATCAATCCCCCAATTTTTTGTGGATCTTGGAATTTCTACCAAGTCATCAAATTTTAATTTTTGAGCAACTTTTCCCTCTCAGTTCCTATAATAGTCATCCAGAGGGTACGTAGGGGTTTATTTAGATGAACATTCTTAATGGTACTTTCTAAATCCAAAATTCTTTCAATTAATTCTCCTTTTTTGCAGATTATTATTTTCTTTGATAATTGCAAGAAATGGGTCCATAAAAGATAAATCAGAGTATACTAACTCTTTAGGTTTTTTAGGTTTTGGATCAGATTCTACTGTGTTACTCTTTTTCCTGGAGTTGTCTTCCAATTCTTCCATTTGGGGCACTTCTGTGGGTGATATTTTTGGCTCAACTATCTCCCTCATAATACAAGGTGGTGCATTGAAAAGAAGAGAAGATCTTCCTCATTCATCTTCCAACAAAAATCATCCAACTCAGCATGCTCTTCAGGGATCAACTCTTCAAATTCAACATTATGGCCCTCTACTACCCCTGACATACTTTTGGTTTCTACGCTAACAAACTACTCCAATTGATTTTCTAAGTTTCTTAATTCAGTAGTTTGACTTTGTAATTAATTCAATATATTTATTGCCAATTCATTCAAATGCTCATTTTTTAGGGTAGTCGCTATCTTAATTATTCTAACTTCTTGCAGGATAAGCTTGGGTGCTCTCCCATTAATGATTGTCTATACTATGGTTATTATTGTTCCAATTGAAGCTTGGGCGGGTCGACCAACTTTGGGTGTAGGTGTTTGATTCATTCCTCAAATTTGCTAGCAATTCTTTGAACATCAGGTTTATCCTATTTGAAATGGGGTTTTGATGTGATTTCTCAAAATTAAATTTGACAAATGTAGTTCCTGCCCCAACTATTTCAATTTTCTATAAGGTTGGCTTGAGTTCTCCCCAAAACTTAGTTTCCTACAATAACATTACTAATGTTCAAATTAGAGTTTGGGTAAATAGTCTAATTAGGGCTATAGTTATTAGAGGAGGGGTGATCAAAACTAGCCCATATGCCAGGTTATTCAAAATTCACGTGACTGCTAGCCATTAATGAGTCAATATAATCTTGCAAGGGTCTAAATTGTTTTTCCTGAGTGACAAACATTCCAAAATGTTGAAACATTTTTTTTTCAAAATTAACATAATCATAAGAACAAAATAAAATCATAAACAAAATAAAGATAAAAATAACAAAATATTTTTGGCTTTCTTAAGAAAGTAAAATAAAATTTTAACAACAAAATATTTTTGGCTTGTTGGCTTTATATATATTTCTTTGGCTTTTTAAATTTTCAGCACATGCAAAAAGATACAACAACAATACAGATGCAATAAAAAAAAGAAAAATATAAAACAAAAATAAGAAAATAAAATGCGTCGAACTTAGATCCTAAAATTTTCAACTAACGTTTTCCTAGAAGCAGAAACAATTATTAACGCATTTCCACGAAAATGCCGTCAAAAAGTTGACGCCCCAAAACTTACTGGGGCGTAAGCCCGTACAATGCAAGTGCATGTGTCAAGTAGCAATGCTGTTCAAGAGCACTGTGTATCGATCCCACAGAGAAAGTGTAATATTTACTTCCACAGAAAAACTCTAGCTTACTAATTCAGTTAACCTAGCTTGACGATTATCAAATGAAGGTTTTTAAGTCTTAAGGTCCTAGCAAAACAAAATACTTGTCGGTAATGGAAAGCAAAAAATAGACGGGAAAAAATTGTGAGTTCCTTCAAGATAGACGAGGCTCGTGTCTTTGTGATTCAAAGATTATGACGATCATGGTTTTCCTAAATGTTTTCGTACATGATTGATGTCAATGGGGATAAGATATTCTTTATGTCTATGTCTTTGTGATTTGAGGATTATGACAATCATGGTTTTCCTAGATGTTTTCGTACATGATTGTTATCAATCGGGGATAAGATATTCCTTATGCCTATGTCTTGGTCAAAAGAAACCTAGAATTTATGAAGTTGAAGCTTCCTCAATCCTCATGGCATTCCACATGACTTTTCCAAACCCCCGAGATGATTGCAGAATTCCACTGAAATATGTCTATCATCACATAATTTTGTGGTTAACCATTTGTTTCCACAACGCAATGTTAGAGGTCATACTTTCACAAAATATTTTAACTTCCTAATTGGCTAGGCTAGGAGTAAATGAAGGCTGGAGTTTAACCAACAACATATGCCATGAAAAGCTCAAGAAAATGATTAATGGAAAAACATTACAAAAAACTAACTATAAATCCACTACTCCCTACATCATAGAGACACGAAAAAAAGCTTAGTTGCTCATTGCAGAGCAAACCATAGCGAAAAACTCCACAATAAATTCCATTGCAAACAACATAAAATGTAAAAAGATTAAAAAAAATTATTTCCCCAGCAAAGCCAACAACTTCCCCTCTCATAAAAAATCTCTCACAACGTACAAAGTAAAAAAAAAAAAAACTATCCCTTGAAGATTTCAACCCAAGGAGGAAGAAAACCCTGAAGAGATCCCTTAAATCCTTTCCCACATTCTATTTGTTCAGCCTCCAGCCTTCTCTGCTGCAGTACTTCTTCTTAGAAGCCTAAAATTCGATTTTATAGGACAAATCATGGGTTGATCCATCAAATTTCCTTTATAAAGTTTTTCCCACTCTTCGACATGGTCACACCCGTTTCCAGCGTGGTCACACCGTTCTTTTGTTGGGGTCGGCATGGTCATGCTGCCCTATTACAATATATGATGTGGTTATGCTATTTTTGGGCGTGGTCATGCCAGCTTGGTTCAATCAATGGCTTGGTCACGCCGCTTCAGGCACTTTTCTGCTGAATTTTCTCATTCCAATTTGTTTACGTTCAATTCCTGCATCCCTCAGAACATGAACAAAATACATTTCTCAAGCGTAAATCTGTGATGAATAAAAAAAATTAAGATGTAAAATGCATGTAAAATGACGTAAAATTGATGTATGCCAAAAAGACATGGAGAGAAAGAGATGGAGAGGGAAAAATGAATAAAATAACACACACAGACCGTAGGGGCAAAATTGTGTATTTCTGGGCTTTGTGACCCATTTTAAATGTTGTAACTGGGAATTACAAGAGAGAAGGGGGGAGAGATCTCCCTACAAGAGTGGGCCTAAAGAGAAGAGCCAAAAAGCCCTTAATACATGCTATGAGCCCTTATTTATATATGATAAAGGGCTAAACCTCTACTTTAATAGAGACGTTGCAAGGGTATTATCATATTTTATTATGCCTTTTTCATATTTGTAACTGATTATGATACATTTTCATCTAGCCTGGACCTTCTGTCCAGCAGATCTTTGGGCCAATCAATCAAAATGGCATCAATCAATTAGTTTGCTTGGTGTCGGTTGCTCTTTGCTTTGAGAAGCTAATCGATTTTGAAAGTGGTAACCAGTCAGCCCTAATGTGGCCGGTTAGCTTGCTTGATTATAGACCTTTGGTGGTGATTTTTGAAGAACTTTGGGGGAGTTGTTGAGAGAGTCTCACGTTGGTAGTTGTGAGAATGTTGGGGGACATTAGCCTTTTGTTCGGTCATTTGATGTGAATGTCTTCACTGATCGATCTGAGTGACCCTTTGGTTATCAAACTGACCTTAGGTTAATCAGAAGCCCTATGGCCGGTTGCACAACCCTTTGGTCGGCTAACTGCCGATGAGTTGGCATTTCTTTTTACCTCTTTCAATACAGATCGTTAGATTATCTCGACATTCATGTAGACCATTTTTGGATATACAATGACCTTAAATTTTTGCCATCTAATATAGGTCATAAGTTAACTTCCTAAGCTAGCCATCTAACATAGATTTCATCCGACTAAACTACTTAAAATCCATTCCCTAAGTTGATATGCCAAATCACCCCTAGCAAGTTTTGCATTCCTTCCACCAAATCCCAAAAATCATGTAACCTCTTTACCAAACCTACAAATCACATTCTAACTCATTAAAATACAAGCACATATCTACTTTTAGGCTTTAATCCCATTAAGAATGTCTCACACCACAATTTAAGAGTGAAATTCAACTCAATTATTGCATCATTTTTTGAATTAGATCAGCATGAAAATACTCATGGAGTATTTTGACAATTTTCATAAACTCTAGGACCAAAATAACCCTATATAAATATTCATGGAGTATTTTGACACTTCACTCCATTAAAGATGAAGGAAACTTATACTCTACACTAAAGCATCTTTTTTTGATTTGGCATAAATGTTGTTGGTTCCCAAGCACACAAAACAAAAATCACCACAGCTTGGATTCCTTTCGGTGTAACTTGATCCATAAAAAAGCTATGAGCATAGAAATAAAAAAATAAAAAAAAATATTAATTAATAGTAATGGCGGTTTTAGTAATGTTGGAATTTTATAAATAAAAAAAATGAAATTCTGCAATTAAATTGTTATTTTATTATCAGCACTCATTGACTACTTGGAGATATAGAACATGCCTTTAAAATTTTGCAGAACAATTACTTTAGCTCTCGCACATCTCATATCTAAAAAGAAATCTCCAAACAATTTTAATATTTTTAATGCCTACTTCAAAATTTTCACTGAAATACTACCCAGTTATCTGCTCACTACTGTTCTTCAAAAAAAAAAAAAAAACCATTGTATAGTTGCTTTGTTGGATCATTAACTCCACAACATCATTAAATCTAACACAAAAATATGTATCTTCAAAGCCGTTTTCCAAAAAAACAAAATAGGGATAGTTACATACAAAATATCTGAAACATTGACATTTACAAATCAAGCAACCAAATGAGTTTTTAAACTATCGAATCGATGATTTATGTGTGTCATGATCAAACAATTGACAATTTGATAAAAATGAAAAACATGGCTTGAGGTTTTATCATGAATTCTAGTATTTGAGTTAGAACTTGAAAAATGAATGAAAGAGAATAATTGATTCGTAAATAGCAATCTTTTTCGGTGTTCTATATTGCTCCAAAAATTTATGATTGTTGCAAGAAAAATTTCATCATAAGACCTTCTCACCCAAAATATTTTCTCATACGCTAATTATCTAGATTTAAAAGACCATTCATGCTAACTCTAGCTTGGTTAATTACACCCATGAAATCAATTTGAGTGCTCTTGAATAAAAATCTCTAAAATCATGAATATTCTAACATGCAATAAAAATTAGGGGGCATATACGTACATACCACACTATTCTTGTGCATTTACGTATCTAACATCAAAACATTCATATTTACAAACATAACACTCAAATTTTTAAAATAAAATAAAAAATATCACCATCAGTACCTTTTTAAAAGTGACACATGCCTTTTCATGCATAGGTTTATAACAGCAAGGTGTTATAAATGTAAATATCACACTTCGAGTGTTAGACATGTAAATAATATAAATATTAACTGTCCCACAAACCTTTACATCCCCAATTCCCCATACGCAGTAAACATATCTTTCAAGCAATCAACTACAGAAGCCTTGAAAACGAATGCACCAAGAATGAAGTAAATACAAAAAATAAAAATAATAAAAAAAAACTATCAACAATTTACAATTTTAGAGTCTGTAATTTGCTCCCAATTTCGAATTATATAGTTTTTCAGGAAAATGAAATTTAGAATTTATTACCTGGGCAACTTAATTGGTTCATACTTTTCGCCAAAGGAATCACCTTTCTGCTTCTGGAACTGAATATATCGAAGCGTGCTAGAAAAGAAAGGATCAGCAGATGGAACTGAAGTTGAGTTATTATCACTTTGCATTTCCGTCATGATTAATTCAATCAGATCGTCAATTGCAGAGCATGTGATCTGAAGGTTTCCTTTCTCAAAGAAATACAAATACCTGCAATAAACCAAAATAAATTTACAAATTTAAAACAAGGCAATTTTGATAATTATTTAGTAAAAGAAAAAAAAAAGGGATCAAAATATTCGAATCAAAGTTCTAGTTATGATGAACCTTTAAGTAATTGAATCTGTTTTAAGATGAATGCAACATGTAGGAAATTGATATCATATTCATCTTAAAATAAGTTTATGAACTCTGAGGACTATCCCGAACATTGTTTGGTCAGAATATTCAACAACAAGAACAAATAACAAGCCTTTATCCAACTAGGTGGGGTCGGGATATTCAGATATAGTTATTTTAAAAAAAAAATATTTTCAAATAAATATTTATTATATGAAGCCTTACTTGTTGAGTATTTCAACAAACAAAGTGACAGGTCCACTGCTACCCTTCGTGACATTAGCCATTTGTTGTGCAGTATTTGCAATCTTCAAGGCACGTTTTAAACAAAGGAGAGCTCTACAAGTATAAAATGAGTTTAAAATACAAGAATATTAAACCATATAGTGCGCATCAAATGCAAAAAAAAAGGGACAAAATTTTCATGAATAAATATTCTAAAATGGAATCCTAAACTGAAGCCACAATTCAGATTACACTTTGTGCATATAGCTCCTCTTTGAAGGACAATGTTCAGGATAGAGGAATCTTAAAATGATATCCTTCAATTCCTCCAAGAGACTAGTTGGTTTCCATTGGGATCAATTGCACGACAAGCTTAGTAAGCTTATGAATACCTATGTAGTTCCCTCTAACAAATAGATCCAAATTCCTTCTCTATGGTAGCTCATTTATATATATATATTATATATATATATATCACCATGAACATTAGAAAACTTGGTTATTGGATCTCTCAAAGATTGTCCATGATAAAAGCGAAATGTAAAAAATATTAACCAACATCCACTAAAAAATCTTTTTGAAAATATAATTCAAGAGAAATTTAAAAAATTTTAGGGGAGAATCTACACATTAAGGGGAGCTTCTCAGAAGATAGTTTTTGATTCTTTTCATGACATAAATGGAGCTGAGTAAAGAAAATTATGCTCTAATACTCTAGAACCTAAAAGAGAATTATGGGAGAAAGAGGAAGATTTTTTTTTAATTTATTTTGAAACTTTATGACATTTTTCGGAATGATTAAAAAAGGGGATTGGTTGCTTTCCTTTTTTTAAGTGTATAAAAGGAAATAAATAAAAAATGCATAAATTAGAAGCTTTGCAGCTCCTGGACCCCATGTAACATGAGCAGCATCGACTATGGCTTCTGCCTAACAATGCTTGGTCGGGATCTGATACGTTGGCGCCTAGCATAGCCTAAGAACAAATTTGTGTTTCGTACACCTAAGGGCAATTTAGAATTTTATTAATATATATATTTTTTTTGTATAAATAGGCTTATTATGTCTAGGGTTGGTTTAGCGTTGGGGAGAGATTTTCTACCTCTTGAATTGTAGGAATTGGGAGAGATTGCCTACCTCTTGAATTATAGGTGCTTGTCATGTATTTTTGTTGAGTTAATTAAATTAATGAAGGAAATTTATTTTTGCCCTAATTTCTGTAGAAAAGAGTGTCGATTTTGACGTCAGATCGTATGGGTTCATTTTTGAATCTTGATAAGCCTTTTCAAGTGTTTTTGGGCCTCTACAAACCATTTTCATTATCAAAAAATAAATTATGGTAATTATTAGATCTGATAAGACCTTTGAAGTAGAATTTGAAATAATTTGAAGAATTTTGAGCTTTGTTTTTCATTAAATTTGTACTTGAAAGACATGCCAACTCCACTGAATGGCGAACATGGTTGAGGGAGTAACTTGGCTCATGGTTTCTATGGGAGGTTCATATTAACATTAAAGACTGTTCATCCCTTAAATTACCTCAAAGTTGTAATTTAGTATCAACAAATTTTTAGGATTGGGATTTTTTCAGATTTGGCAGAGTTTGGCATCATAAAATAGGGGCAACTGAAATGCAATCTAGAAAATTTATATAGCCATGTATGAATTTTCAAGTAGTTTTCAGACATCAAAGAACATGTACATTTTGAAGAAAAAAATTTAGGAATTCAGCATGAGATCATTGGGACGACCTTATCAATAAATTTATAATCAAGACGGTATGGTTCAATGAGACAAACCAATGACATCAAGGAACTCTTGACCAACGTCTAAATGAGCCTAAATAAGTACTTAGAAGAATAACCGAAAGCTTTTTAAAACTGTTTGAGGTGTGAAATGAAGAATACAGTTTATGTGCATGCAGTCAAAACATGCAGCTTAGCGAAACGAATCAGATGACTTAAATTTGTTAAATTTTGAGTTCATCAAAGAACTAATAGACACAAAAAAATATAGTCATGAAACGTGATCTATTTGGACAATCTAATAGAGAGTCTAATTTTTTGAAGAAATAATTGAAGTACTCCACTAATAAATTTATAAATAAATCCTATTTTTACACATTAAAAAGATTTTTTGTGGAGGCCATTCCCAGATGAAGAATTCCAGATGTTTGAGAGTTGTTTGGAGCCCTAACTATTTTTGGGATTTTGCCTATTTAGACTTTTGGTTTGCCCTTCCTAGTCACACCATCTCCCCTCCGGCTACGAGGAGAACAATGTCGACCACCTTCTAGCATCCAACATTCTATGATGATGATCACTGTGATAATTGAAAAATGAAGATGACTATTACCAAATGATTTCGACAGCCTACATCGCCTATTGTCCACTAATACAAACAATCCACATTGCTTGTCATTTGATTAGTTTTGTCATCCATCTTTCCAGACATCTATCGTATCCCATCATTTGATGCTGACACCCACCATCAACTTATATTTTCAAATATTGATGTTAGCCATCATCATAATCAGACACCAACATCTATCATCATCCAATGTCAACTCAACAAAATCATTGCCTATCAAAATTTTCATCACTATTTTAGGAAACCACTTAGAATTATGACGAATGTTTCTGAGCTTCAATTTACGCAAAGAAGTCACTTCAACGGCTAGGCCTTAAGGTTCTCCCCTTTATTGGTTTTCTACAAAAACAACAACAACACAACAAAGCCTTAATCCCACTACGTGGGGTCGACTACATGAATCCTTTTTCTCCATTGTGTCCTATTTAGTGTCATATTTTCATTTAGTTCTAATAAATTAAGATCATTTTTTATACAATAAGCCCAAGTATTCCTAGGTCTACCTCTGCCTTTCTTAACATAAGTCGAATCTAAAACATCTACTCTCCTAATCGGATCATCAAATGGTCGACGCTTAATGTGACCAAACCATCCATCTAAGACGACTTTCTCTAATTTTGTCAGTCATAGGAGCTACACCAACTCTATCACAAATATATTCATTTCGCATTTGGTCTCTAAGTGTAAAACCACTCATCCACCTAATCATTTTCATCTCGGCAACACTTAACTTAGTATTATGCTTTTCTTTTAAGGCCAACATTCAGCGCCATAGAGCATTGCAGGTCTCACCACCATCTTATAAAAATTTCCTTTTAGTCTAAGCGGTACTTTTTTATCACACAAAAGGCTCGAAGCATTCCTCCACTTCAACCAACCAACTTGAATTCTACTATTAACATCCCCATCTATATCACCATCGTTGTGAACAACTGACCCGAGATATCTAAATCGTTCACACTTTTTAATAATTTGATCACCCAAAGTTACACTTCTGTCACTAGCACTACTACTACTAAAGTTACATTCATGTATTCAGTTTTAGTTCTACTAAAATGAAGGCCTATAGACTCCAATGTAGACCTCCATACTTCAAGTTTTTCCTATGCTTTTTCTCTCGTCTTATCCACGAGAAGGATATCATCCGCAAAAAGCATACACCAAGGTACATCCTCCTGTAAATGTCCAGTAAGACCATCCATAACTGAAGCAAAAAGATATGGGCTTAAAGCCGATCCCTGATGAAATCCAACAGAAATACGAAAATATTTGTTCAATCCTCCTTCAATTAGAACAAGTAACAGCTCTAGTATACATATCTTTAATGAATTGAATATAAGTCATATCACACTTTATAGGTTTTCTATATAAAGAAAACCGATGTGATGTGGCATTCCCCTTTATAGGTTTTCTAGGTTAAAAAAAAAAAAACTGTGATGCGGGTTGTTTATCAATGTGTGTGCACAATCTTCATGTATGCTTAACATAACAAACTCACTCTATTGCCATAAATTTTCAAGCTAACAAGAATGAAATAAGTTGAAGAGGCAATGATAAAACTCAATTTGATGTTAGGCAATGAACTAGACAACTACATACCCGAGACCATTGCAAAAGATCAACTAAATTAAATTACTTTGAAGTCATACACAACAAGAGAGAAACTTAGGAGTTAATGGCCACATAAACCAAAGGACAATATGCGTGCAAGGGCTCTCGAAGCACTTGCTAACCAGTCTTTAGAGATAGAAAGCATTGAAGGCAAGAAAATATTTGCAAAATGTTACCTTTCTCCATCCTTGATTCCATCTTGATCATCAACCCAAAAGAGGTGGGAGCAAGAATAAACTGCACTGCACTGATCAGGCTTTTTCAAAAGCTTTGCAGAATACTGCCAAAAAAATAAAGTTGAACTTTGAATTTCAGACTAAGCATAGTTAAAAATAAATGATCATGGGTATAATACTAACCCCTGTGGCCTTATGGGTTAGCGTATCTCTATTCTCAACCCCAAATACATTCATCCGCTGAAGAGTTCCAATAATTAGGTGAAGTGCCGTCACCTGAGCTTTTGAATCCTACATATATTATAGGAAAAGAAAATTGAAAAAACGGAAACTACACGGCAAGACACTCCATTGAGCAAATAACCAATGATAACACAATAACACCTAAATTAGGCTTGAATATTTGTATTCTAGTTTCTTACTGCAACTTCTTCTTCATATAATATAAATGCTTGAGTAAAAAACTCATACGCAACAGGTTCAAGATCGCAATCATTGGCAGCCTGAAAAAACATTAAAGCAAAAATAATAGTTGCTGTTGATGGGGGATATGAGAAATAACCAATTGAAAGATTGCGTACCTCTGCACATTGTAAGTACAACCTAAGGGCAAGTTCGGGTGAAGGAACAGCTGATAGTGCCTCAATGGTCTGAAACATATCGATGGCAGAAAAATAACTAATAAAAAATAAAAACAAGTCAAGAAAAAGTTGGAGATTAAAAGAAGAAAGGATGCCAACTGAAGCTCTATCACTGCCAATGTGTAATAATAAAAAAATAATAATAAAATAAAAAATCATGTTGAGAAACTGCTACATGAATATATCATTTTAACAAAATCACATTGAAGTATGCACTCAAAGAAGAAACACAGATTTCTTAAGATATAATTTGCCCAATGAAGCAAGCTAGGAGGTTTTAGATGTCAACTATAGAACATGTTTATGCATGACACTATGTCTGGTCTCAATATGGAAAATAAAACAAACACGGGCGCAACAGTCAATGCAGCTCCACCAAATATAAAGCTTGGAGTTCAAACGTTCACAATGTAATGGTATGTCTCGATTACATAAACATATAGCACAAAGAATTAAGTACAAAAAGGGTTAGGATGAACTCTGAAGCAAATAATCAAAATATGTCAGCCATAATAATAACAGGGCATTAAAGTTCAAAACATTCAAAGTCCATGAAACGTGATCAATTCATGCTTTTCAATATATAAACCAAGATTACTAGCAGCACTCCTCCATTACCATGATACACATGACCCTCTGTGGTCCCCCATATTACATGCATAAACTACAACTACCTGCTCCCACACTTTCTATTCCTCCAGAATCTTCCTGTATAACTTTATATAGACTACTTGTGTAAAGCTACAGTGAAAGGAATGAATAGAAGATCCTTATTACCTATTTTCCTCTCTGCTGTGTCTCGTACAGTTTTTCTATTCCTTAAGCAGCCTTCATTATTGTATCAGAACTGCTTGTGGGAAACAGACGTCCTTAGTTCACCGGGTGAGCACCTTTACTATAACCTCAGTCCACCTTATCTTCTTCTCTTAAATGGATGAATCAATCATCTCAGAATCCCAATCCCCTTTACAATAATCCCAATTCCCCCTTCCCTAAATTTCTTGCTCTCTCACCTAAAACATTTAACCCAAAACCAGCAAACCACAGAGAACTAACATGACTGGCGTGCCCAAATTCTGAAAATCTTTATGGCAAACGGGTTTATGGGGTTCCTTGATGGCAGCTGCTCTTGTCCACCATAATTCGCCGATGAAAACAATGCTGGTACCGAAAACCAACAATTTCATTTATGGAACCTCATAGATAAAAATCTCACAACATCCCCATACTCCATCTCCCTAACTGTACTTCCCCACATTCTGCATCTTCACACTACAGCCCCACATTCTGCATCTTCACACTACAGCAATCATCTGGACAACACAAGGACGTCTGTTACAAATCATGAACAGATTTCGTGTGATTCAGTTGAAGAACGAATTACACCATATTTCAAAGAAGGGGAATACCATGACACAATACTTGACTGAAATTTGACATCTGGTGGATCAAAACTTGATCAAGAAGATGTCATTCTATACATCCTTAATGGTCTTCCTTCTTCTTACAACGCCTTCAAGACTTCTATTCCAACTATGCTTCAGCCCATCGCACTTGAGGTCTCTACTCCACTCCTTTGTACTGAGGAGATCAACATCAACAATGAGAATGCAAAAGCCATCCTCTCCATTGAATTTCAAATAGCCCTCACGGCTACTTGTGGAAGAGATCAATTCAACAATCGGGGATGAGGAAGAACTCAATCGACAACCAACGTGGAGGCCATTCTAGAGGCTCGAGGAGGCGGTGTGTTGTGTGGCGGCGGCAATCAATTCACTCTCTCATGATATGCCAAATATGCAACAAAACAGGACACTCAATATCAATATGTTGGCATGGAACCAACTTGGAATACACCCCCACTATTGGATTCCAGAGCAACAACACATTTCAACTCAGATCTCAGCCAACTACAACAGCCGACTCCTCATTTCTCGTAACAAGTACTAGTTGGCAATGGGCAAGCAATTCCAATTCAACACAAGGGTGATGACATCCTTCCTACCCCCAAACCGTAAGCTTAAACTCTCTCAAATCCATCACACTCCTTTGCTTTCTCACAAATTATTATCCACTCACAAATTAACCAACGATAACAATCTTATTGTCTCATTTGACTCCTCCAGTTTCTACATATCTGATCCACAGACTAGACAACTGGTTCTTAAGGGAGCCAGTTCTAATGGTCTCTACTCCACCCCTGCCTTCCCTACTCTACCACAAGCATTGACTTCTTCACTCTCCAAAATGCACATTCCGAGCTATGGCATCGTCGATTGGGTCATCCACATCCCGACATCATCTCATCAATTTCCAAATGCCATTCCTTATATATACCATCCACTACAGGTTTTGTAGTATTTGCAATTTGTCTAAGAGTCACAAACAACCCTTAGTATCTAATATAGGACAAAAATACAAGCTAATAGAATGGGATGTTCTCCCCAATTTTGTCCTAAAAGGCTATAAATATTATATTGCATTTGTTGATGACTTCTCCAAATTCTGTTTGGTTTTCTTAATGCATAAAAAAATCTCAAACCACACAATTACCAAACATTTTATTCTCCTACTCCAACATCAATTCAACACCAAAATAAAAATTCTTCGCTTCGATAGGGAAGGAGAGTACAACAACCAAAATCTAAATCAATTCCTAGTTGATCATGGCATCATGCACCAACATTCATGCCCATACACACCCGAACAAAAAGGTGTGGTTGAACGAAAGCACTGCCATCTCATTGAGACCACTCGTGCTCTCTTGCACCAAGCCCACGTTCCCTATACTTTCTGGACCGACTTTCTTCTCATTGAGGCTTATTTCATAAAATAGAATGACCTCTCAAACTACTAATTACATCTTTCCCCATCGTCATCAATCCAAACCAACCTACACGCATTTCCGAGTGTTTGGGTGCTCATACTATCATTGGAGGAAACCTCAAACATCACATAAACTTGAACCTCACTCCGTTCAATGCATATTCCCGGGCTACTCACTACAACACAAGAATTACAAATGTCTCAATCCCATCACCAACAAAATATTCATTTCTAGACACATGATATTTGATGAAAATTCCTTTCCCTTCAACTTTTGGCCAAGGTAACAACAGCAAATAAACCCAACTACTCATCCATTCTTACTTACACCCACCATTTATACCTATCCTCCACATCTCCCAATCTTCCCACCAGTAAATCCCCAATCGCAACTCCCTCCTGTCCACTTACAGATAGTCATCTACTTCCACCTCCCATACCGCCACCTTCCAATGTTGTAAGCCCTCCTGAGCATCCAATGGTTGCTCTGTCCTAGACTGGACACCTAAAACCCATCCAGAAAATATATTTTTTTAACCAAATTCACCCCTCACCTAATCCTACGTGCTTCACGCAAGCCCAAAAACACCCACAGTGGCGACAGGCCATGATAGAAGAATTCATTGCCCTACAGAAACAGGGAACCTTGATATTGGTACCTCCTCCAGAAAATCAGCCTATACTTGGCTCTCGGTGGACATTTACAACCAACCTCAATCCCATGGGTCAGGTGACACGACAGAAGGAACTCCTTGTCGCTCAAGTCATCAACAAGAATTTGGTGTCAACTATCATGAAACCTTCAGCCCAGTCGCCAAACTCCCACCATTCGTATACTCCTCACTATTGCTCTTCATCACCAATGGAATATTCTACAATTTGACATATCAAATGCCTATGATACCCTCAACGAACAGGTTTACATGAAACAACCATCAATCTTCAATGATCCCCAATTTCCCCACCATGTGCGCTTGCTCAAGAAATCTCTAAATGGCCTCAAACAGGCCCCACGGCAGTGGTTTACAAAATTCTCTGAGTTCTTCATCAAGAGCGG